CAATGCCATCTGTGAAGAATCTGGAGACAGAATTCCTTGCTGTCATGTAGCAGTACAAGTAGCTGAGGTTCCCATAACAGCAGGTTTGTCTTATCACATAGTGAAGTGTATATTGCAATTTAAACAATCCTTCACTCCAAATCATTGAAGTGCAAAGATCAAAATGAGTTTTGGGATGTGTTGGAGCATTCATATACAGCCTGTTGAAAATACCTTAAAGTAACTTGCATATGATCCTAGGGAAAAAATTGAGTTAGTTTAAGAGATTCCAATAAGTGTTGTGCCTTGCCCACACACTCTCCACATAAATTTTTGTAGTCCAGATTGTTCCAGGTTCTAAGGTAAAATAAGTGAAATAATGCATAGTAGCATCTAAACCACTATTTCTCAATCTCAGCAACTTTAAGATGGGTGGATTTCAACTTTCAGAATTCCCCAGCCAACAGGGAGAATTCCCCAACATGGCTGTTAGGGGAATTATGGGAATTAAAGTTCATCCAACTTAAAGTTGCCAACGCTGAGAAGCACTGGTCTAAACTCATAAGTACATTAGGTCCAGGCTCTAAAGTGCTTTTACTACATTTCTGAATAGGTCTGATTGTTACCAGCTGTGATTTATTTTTTAATTGCATTTTGAAGAAATGTAGAACTATAGTCTTCAAATATACTATCATGAAGCAAGAGCAAGACACTGGGTATACGTCTGCATGAAGGGTCGCTACAGATGGATCTTATACCTGGCAGTCAAACTAGATTTTTTTCAGGTCACTCTTTTTCACAGTAAAAAAGCTCAGCGCAAGAACAGTTATAATTTAAATATTGCTCTGAGTCCACATCTTTTCCCTTAAGGTTTAGTAGCCTCTGTGCAATTGCTAATGATGTAGCTTTCCCATACTTTGGAAACAATTTGCTAAATCGATGGTGCTTTGATTCAGTAAATATTCAGTAAAAAAAAAAAAAGCTTCTTTCAACATGTAAAAAACAAGAAAAAAGTTAAGGACATGATTGGTCCATTAGTGGGGGAAAGTGGCAAGAAGGTGACAAGCAACAGGGAGAAAGCAGAACTATTTAACTCGGTTTTTGCATCTGTCTTTACTTAAAGGTAAAAAACAGTCCAACCTATCAAAAACAGTACCATAAAAAACAGATTAGAAACACAAGTTAAGATAGGCAAGAATATGATAAATGAGCATCTGTCCAGCCTAGACGAGTTCAAATCACCAGGACCAGATGGATTCCATCCCAAGGTTCTCAAGGAACTGGCAGATGTGATCTCAGAACCACTGAACTATATTTTTCAAAGATTCTGGAGCACTGGGGAACTACCAGAGTCACATTTTTCAGTGCCACTGTAACTTTGAACAGTTACTAAATGAACTGTTGTAGGTGGAGGACTACTTGTACTATAATAATAGTTTTGGTTTGACTGGAGGCTGACCTGGACTGGAGGCTAAAACATATAAAGAATAGCTGCTGGAATTGAGTACGTCTAGTTTAATGAAGAGAAGGACAAGGGATGATAGGATAGCAGTGTTCCAATATCTCAGGGGCTGCCACAAAGAAGAGGGAGTCAAGCTATTCTCCAAAGCACCTGAAGGCAGGACAAGAAACAACAGGTGAAAACTAATCAAGGAGAGAAGCAACCTGGAATTAAGGAGAAATTTCCTGACAGTTAGAACAATTAACCTGCCTCCAGAAGCAGTAAATGCTCCAACACTGGAAGTTTTTAAGAAGAGACTGGACAGCCATTTGTCCGAAATGGTGTAGGGTTTCCTGCCTGAGCAGGGGGTTGGACTAGATGACCTCCAAGGTCCCTTCCATCATCATCATCATCATCATCATTATTATGTTAATTGGCATTAGGAATACAGAAAACTGCCTTATACTGTGTCAGAGCATCCAACTATCTCCTATCTAATCCAGTACTGTTAACATTAAGCAGCTGGGCAATTTGACCTTTCAAATGTTTTCCCAACCTGCAGTACCTACAGCTACAACCTGGAAGATGAGCCACAATTGCTCCCAAAATAGTAAGAGATAGAAAAAATAATTGTATATATGTGTACCACTTAATTTTATGCAGAGTTGTTTGTGACACAAAATAAAATCAAGTAATATTGCTCAGGATGATCCATATGTGGATGCAGTCCAAGGTTTAGCTGGGACTGAGTCCCCACCGCCATCAGCCCAGATCAAAAAGTTTTCCTTGGGGGAAACTTACTAGTTTTGCTCCCTTGATTGTAGAAGACATTTTGTGCACAGCCTCCATTGCTTTAGATATGCCTACCTTGCATAGTGGTAGGAAGAATCCAGATGAATTAACTCCATTCATCTTCCCAATCATGATCCAAAAGTGCTTTTCAAAAGGCAACTGGATGTTCTTGGTTCTTTTCTTGAAAACACTTCACTTCTGAACTGAAGAAGCTTCTTAATGAAAAGTGAAATGTTTTCAAGGAAAGAACCAAGAAAGTACAATTGCTTTTTGAAAAGCACCTTGATCTGGTTGATTGAGAATCTCCAGAGACTTTCCCAGTCATAAGTGTCTGGAGTCAAGAAAGGCAGTACAAAGTTATCCTGTGTTATATAATGTCCAAACATACAGTATAGCTAATATTTGGGCCACTTGCTGCAGAGAAAGTTCAGCACCGTAGTCTTTTGTGGTCAGATCCTCGCAGACAACCTTGTATTTGAACACACAAATAAAACAAATATATCTTTTGGAAGGGCAGCATATGCTCATAGAACATTGTATACTGTATCAAGCTAAAATGAAGAGATCAAGGACAAGGACAAGATTTTTTTTCCTGTAAACATATACAGAGAGGATGAATAATTGATATACATCTTAACACTGGATTATGAAAATTTTCCATAGTATTAAGAAGGTCACAAAAGACAGAAGTGGGAAGCTTGTTTGTTAAAACAGGCACAGGAAAGTGTTTTTCACATAACAGTTGGAGGGATTCATTTTTCTAAGTACAAAGATTAGAATTAGAATTTTGGGAGAATGTGATTAACGCTTGGGTCCTTTAGAATCATATATTACCAGTGAGGCACTTGTCTTCTGAAATGGTGTTAAATTCTCTTTTCAAGAACAGCTCTCTCATTTCCAGGGAGAAATTTTTTTGGAGATGTTAGAAAATATAAGCTCCAATATGTAAAAGGAAGTGATTAAAAATAAAACCTCTATGGGCTGTTTCTCGTGGCAAAGTTAAAATCCTATCCAGTAGTCCTTAAACCACCAGAATGCTACTCCTGGGTAAAATGTATTGTTACTCTGTTTTGGTGATTCTCGTCCTCTCTCAGTTACAATGGCAGCAAATAGTGCTTTCTTTATTTACAGTATAGTGTAAAAATCGCATTAAGAAAAATAATTGGCGGATTTTCCCCAGCTATATTTCTCTTCCCCTGCTCCCAAAGACATCAGCCAAAGTGGAAAACATCGGCTGAACATGCGGTGGGGATAGGGTGAAGGCAGTGGTGGGATTCAAATATGTGAACAACCAGTTCTCTGTGTGAATGCCACTTCCAGAAGTCTATTCTGTGCCTGGGCAACAAAAAATTAGCTATCAGTTCTGCCGAACTGGTGCGAACTGGCTGAATCCCACCACTGGGTGAAGGGGAACGGAGTTTTGACAGATAGACACAATGGCAGATTTAGTCATCTGTCAAATTAGCTCTGATTGTATTCAAAGAAGTCCAACTATCAGCTGATATCAAATGAAATTTACTTGGTTTCAGTGTTATTCTGAAATACTTCCATTCCGAAATGGAGACCTTTTGGAGTAGTGCAGTTCTGGAATAACACATTCCATTTCCCAAAGTAGCCCAACCAATGAAGAATATTATATCTTCCTCTGAAGTATTTTGTATTCATATTTATTTCTAATTTCTACTTAAATTAATGGCATCACTTGCTCATTGTTACTAGTAATTCAGCCAAGAATTGGTTTCTGTATTACTTAACTCTCTGGGGCAAATCCAGTACAATGCACTTATAATTGTTCTCCTCAGTAACCCTGCATGGACAGGAAAGGCAATCACCAAATCCTGAAAGAGTCATTAGTCTATTCCTCCAAAGTTATTGAACTCATTTTAACTGACCTAAGCAGAAAACCCAAGAGATTAATCTAATTGAAATAGGATTTTTCCAGACTTAGACTTGATATCATTATATTTTTCAAAGCCAAGATGCTGTCAGGATGAGGAGATGGAAGCTACAAGCCTAATGCAACTTTTCTAGGAATAAAGCCCCAGTGAACGCAACAGAGGTTATTCTTGAGTAGACCTCTATATAAGCTTGGGCTATGAATGGGACATGGTTTAGGAATCTAAAGTAGAAGAATAGGAAAAGTCACTCTCTAATTGTCTCAAAAGAAGTCTACTATGATACATTTTGGGTTGAACTATTAAGAGGCATGACCCTAATGCTCATAAAGGGATCACAGATCATATGTGAATGTTTTTATGTAATGACTATTAATTGATTAAACTAAAGGCTTCGGTGAGTGAAGGGTTTATCACCATGGTCTCTCCGATTGGATCCCCCACCACATCCCCTGGCCTAGTCCCCAGATTGGTCAATAGGTCCAGTGAGTAGCAAACAAGAGCAGAGCAGACCAAAACAATAGAAGCCAAATTTCAAGTCACATTGCCAATGAGAATTATTAGTTTTTGTTAAATTAATTGTTGCTGATTGCATTGGAAAATCACATGGGAAGAAGCTGTGTTTTAGGAATGTCGGAAAGTACTATGGTAGCACACACTTTCTTTTCTGATTCCTAGCAAGAATCCACCATATTTGTTATTCTCTCAGCATTTGCCATCCTATGTTTATTTCATAGTCCTTCTCCTGACACTTCCCTTTTCTACCTATTTTCAACTTATTTCAACCTATTTTCCAAAGCAGGACAAGAAGCAATGGATAGAAACTAATCAAGAAGAAAACCAGCCTACAACTAAGAAGAAATTTCCTGACAATTAGAATTAATCAGTGGAATGAGTTGCCTCCAGAACTCATTGTGGATGCTCCAACACTGGAAGAGATGGGACAACCATTTGTTTGAAATGGAATAGGATTTCCTGCCTGAGCAGGGGGTTGGATTAGAAGACCTCCAAGGTCCCTGTGTTATTTTGTTATATCCCAACTTCTCTCTAAGTTAAGAATAAATAAAACCACCACTATTTCATCTGGAGACAAAGTAAGGATGCATTTATGCTTATTTAATAGTGTTTCTGCATTTGTCAGTTAGAGCTACTCAACAAGTTATCAGTTTCACTTCTACCCTCTTTGGACCTAATTAGTTCTGTAATCATGGCAGCCTTTTCCTCTTTGGGACTATTTCTGCCTTGATGTCTTTTCATATAATTATTTCACCTTTTGTTTTGTTTTAATGTGTGGGAAAGATGGGCAAACAGACTGCTGACTGCTGAAGTCAAACTGACCCCTGCTACAGTGCCCAGATTGATAGATTTTATTTTTTCTGTTGGCTAAAGCTGAAAGGGCAATAAATCCCAAGGAGACTTATCAGTCACTTTACCTGTAATGAGTGGCACACTCACAAATCAGGACATCATTTTTCCCAGGAACCCAGAAAAGAAATAATAAGAGCAGGGCAGACATGGAGACAGAAAATGTTATAAACTCAATGCTTGTGCAAATTGAAGGAAAGGCAAATAGCGCTTTAATATAGAGTGGAAAGGGCTAAAATCAATATACAGCGATTCTCAACCTGGACAACTATAAGATGCCTGGAGTTCAATTCCCAGAATTCCCCAGCCAGCATGTAAAAAAAATGAGTTCATTCATTTTTAATCTATAAAGGAAAATAAACTATATGGAAATACAGTCAAAGCAATTATATATTTTTGAGATATTCTAAACATGTGATTATTGCTAAATAGTCACGCTTACCACTACAATAGGGTACAAGTAGGCAAGCGTCAACCACATTCATCGAAACCTAATGACTCTAACATAATACTGGTCTGTAGAATTTTGGAAAATTAAAATATCCATCCATGTCAAATAATCATACTGTTAGGATATATCAGCACAGAAAAAAAATCTCTACAAATTATATTTTTTTTCTGAGAGAACAGTCTACATCTTAAGTGTTGGATGAGCATTAATTTATGTTAATTGTATCTTTGCTTTCAGCAGAACCAAAATGTAAAGGCTGTATTGTATTGCATGTGTACATCCAGTTCTGTCCTATAACAAGAATTAGTTTCTACAAATTGTTCAGACAGTGTTCTGGAGACGCCTGGTGTCCATTAAAGGAAATGCCATAGCCCTCAATCAGTAATAGGGAATACTTTTCTTAGGCTCAAATAATTATCAACAGATCACCAGGGTTGAAAGCAAGAGTTTACAATTTCTTCTTTCCTTCTTTTAAGTATAACTATGTGTTTTCTAACAGTGTAACATAGTGGCATAGAATTGCTTTCTGGTTTTTAATTCATGTTAATTTTGTTAGCTTGTTTGCTTCTGACAGTTTTTACCATTAAAGCAGGTCATATTTTCTCAAGAACAAAACAATCTTTTTCCTCTTTTCCTCCCTCAGATTCTGGCCACCAGGAATATGCTGGCCTTTGGTCTAATCAAGGAGGACTCTGATATCTACCTGTAGACATATTAAAGAATAAAATATTGACCGTCTTTGTGCCTGAGCCAAGAGGACTGTGTAGGTAGTCCTTGCTGGACAACCCTAACTGGGACCAGAAATTCTGTCACTAAGTGAAGTGGCAAAGAATCGTGTGATCACACTATTTAGTGATGGTAGTGCTGGCAATTCTAGTCATTAGGTGAGGATCATGCCATTGTTAAGCAAGGACCTCAGACTTCTTTGGCCCTGCTGTAATTGCCTCCACTTCACTTCTCCCCATCTGCCTCTCTGCTCCCATCTCTGCCCTTTTGGATACCTTGCACTCTTCTGCTACCACCCCCACTGATATTCATCACTTTTTTCCTTTTGCTGCTGAAGAGGCCCAGCCAGCTGAGGCAACTGCTGGCCCTTTGTGAGGCCTCTCAACATTTCTGCAACACCTCAGGAAGGCTTTGCAAATGGTCAGCAACTGCCTCATCTGGGTGTGTCTCAGTGGAAGGAAGACAGCAAAGGTCAGCTGGTGGTGGCAGGAGCATAGGGTGGCTAAAAGGACAGAGATAGTAATAGCAATAGCATTTACTTATATACCACCTTACAGCCTTCTCTAGGTGGTTTACAGAATCAGCCTATTGCCCCCAACTATCTGGGTCTTCATTTTACCAACCTTAGAAGGATGGAAGGCTGAGTCAACTTTGAGCCAGTCAGGATCGAGCTCCTGGCAGTGGGCAGAATTAGCCTGCAATACTGCATTCTAACCACTGTGCCACCATGGCTCTTTAGGCGTGGGGAAGGGTGGATATAGGCAGGTGGGGGGAATTAAGGGTAGGCTGCAGTCATAAATTGTAGACAGGTTGTGAAGCTTTCACATTTTGATCATATGACTGTGGAGATGCTGCAACAGCGGTAACTTCAAGAACCAATCGTAACTACCCTTTGTTCAGCACCATCATAGCTTCAAATGGTCATTCATTAAGCAAGGACTACACCTGCATCTTATGGGAACCTGAGCAAATTATTTCAGGAGCTTCAATTCCACTTCATTTACTGTACTGTCACAATTAAATCAACTATAGGGATTTTGTGATACTCTATAATAGTATATTGGAGTGACCTTGGGAGACCAGGCCAAGAGACGTTGCCAAGGGAATGATCAGCAAAGAGAAGCATCGCCCACAGCTGGATAGTGGCTGGGACAAGAGGCTCAGAAGAGACCCTCTCTAGTCTCTCAAGATGTAAAAGAGGCACAGGGTGAATATATTTTCAAACTTGCAAGACTTTATCAACGTAGCTTTATAATTAAGTAGAATTAACTCATCTGGTCATGTTTCCTATCTGGCTTCTCCTGCAAGACCAACAGTCAAACACTAAATTGTTTAGCTGTTTTCCTATACATAAACGAAACTCCTTCTCACCTGAATATTTTTATGGTTTCTAAAATGGCCCTACGGTTGGGCATCCAAATAACATAGACTAGTGAAAAGGAATTATCTCAAGTTCCAATGTAACTTAGTCTGTTTTTTAATCTTGAGAAAAAGCTGTTATTTAGAGCTGTAATCTAGCATATGTCTCACAGAATCACAGAATCAATTCTGCAACCCAACTTTTTGCTCCTAGTGTCATGGAATATTTAGAAGCACAAAGCAAAACACTCAGAAGGAGCATGTTTATTGCAAAGATCATTGGGTTCCCATTTCACAGGAAAGTGGATCTCCAAAGCTTGGGAAAGCAAAGCTTTTTCTAGAAGTTGAGGTCTTCAAGATGATAGGTTCCAGGGTTCTGATTTGCTGGCAACTTTGGAAGAAGCTAGGCAGGTTATTATCAGTTTATCCAGGGTTATTTCTATGATTGGGTAAAATGGACCTTTCAGGAAAATAGCATAGCTGCAAAGTCCATTGGAGAGATGATGGAGAGATGGAACATTGAGATAATCAGAGATGTATCTCTGGTTGAGAATGGAATATTGGGGCTTCTCATTATGCTTAAAATCCTTTATTAGGGTTGCCTTTGGGTTTAATATGAGCTGGTGAGGAAACTTCTGTGGGCCTTGTTTGGGAGTAGGGAACATCAATTTGGGTCTGATAGGATTAGCAACAAGAGGAGCTGGGCTTGATCCTAGTCACAGGGAGGAAGGAAAGGGTGCTGCAGCCTCCATTTCTATCTTCTCCATTGTTTTACGTCCTTCTTTAGATTCCAAATCTGATTGTAGCAATAACTAAGATAGGTTGCCTTGTAAAATGACTCATGTACAATAAATAGATTTATTGAACAGTCACAGCAAATGCAGTACACAGCCCAGACCAAAAGGTTGCATGAAATAAGCATTTAATATTACCCACAAAACTTACAAACATTTACAGCCAGGAATTATGCCAGCTACTGTATACAACATCATTACTTCCTTGGAAACATAAAAATGAAGGTACTGTATTACAAACATAGAGGCGGCTTCTGCTCAATGTAATTAGTGTCTCCCAAAATGTGCATTCTGATAGTATGATGGTTAAGCAACGGTGGATGCTAAATAAAGGCAATGTCCGTTATGGATTGCATGGTAAAGATATACCATGTTTACTTCTGGCACATTCAATTATTGAAATGCTTAATAAACTGCATTGTTCAAACATTAGTCTTCAGTCCTAAACTAGTTCATTGATCTTATTTTAATATCAATGTTTAGTACATTAAATAACTTAAATGGAGATACAGCTGGATATTTAATAATTTTGTTTCTTTTTGTACTATATAGTAATCTATGCCAAGTAATATCAAATAAAAGTTTCCACAAGTAATATAATGAGGGAACAAGAACAAGCAAATTCACTTGAAACCATGTCCCTAACTAATTTTTGTCTTCAAGGTAGCTGTCTGTTCCTGATGTTGTCCAGAAGATTTTGAGCTTCTTGGACCCCATGACCAGCAGCAACATTTAGGAGTTTTTCTACATCCCTGGAAGAGATTAAATTAGTTGCATAGAGAAAGGCAGAGAATGAGCAATTCTGTCCTGATGTAGCTTCTTTATTATTTCTAATACTAGAATCCATCTTTGTTCTATTCCATTTCTATTCTCTTATTGAGCTGTCTCTTTCCTGTGTCTCTTTTATCTACTGAATTACTATATTTTGAGAAGTATCACTTGACATTCAGAGAAAAGCAGTACTGTGGTGGTCTGAGTCATCCAAAGCTATATATGTTTTTTTTAAAATATTTCTCTTTTACATAAGATTTATTTATACACTGAATGTTGTATAAACCCATGTCAAACCAAGGTTTGCTATTTTAGAAGTATCAAATCATTCTGAGTTTTCCATGCCCTCTATGCAGAATAGAAGTCCCAACCTCACCACTTCACAAGAGAAATGGGCAACCTTTGGCCCATAATCTGTTTTAATGCTCTTTGTAAGAAATTAGTAGATTTCTGGCAAAAACAGTGAACATCACTGTGACAAAAGTATTGATGGAAGAAGGCAAAAACTTCTGGCCCTCAGCAAAGTCAGCATTCACAGGAATGCACTTGCAGCAGCTTGCCTCCAGAACTTTTTTTTTTTTTTTTTTTTTTTGCATTTAAAAAGACTAAGCATATGGCACTTCTCTGTCTCCCAGCAAGCATTATTTCCACAAAGCAGTGGCAATAACCCAGTGGTTGCTGGCCACTAAGAATGATTCACATGCCCAATGAGATAGTGCTTGATTTGTCCCTTTCCTGGTCACCTGCTGGTCACTCGCAGTTGAAGGAGAGAAAAAAAATGTCAGCAAGAAGAAAAGAAGAAGGAGGGACCTATCAATGAAATGTCTTCCTCTCCTTTGAATACAGGTAGTCCTTGACTTACAACAGTTCGTTTAGTGACTGAAGTTACAACAGCACTAAAAGTTTTTCTTATGACTGTTTTTCACATTTATGACTGTTGCAACATCCCCATAGTCATGTGATTTATATTTGGATGCTTGACAACTGACTCACATTTAGGATGGTTGTGTCCCAGGGTCATGTGATCACTTTTTGTAACCTTCTTGACAAGCAAAGTCAATGGGGAAAACAGATTCACTTAACAACCGTGTTACTAATTTAACAACTGCAGCGATTCACTTAACAAATGTGGCAAGAAAAGTTGCAAAATGGGGCAAAATTAAAATTAATGAATTTCTCACTTAGCAATTTAAATTTGGGGCTCAGATGTGGTCGTAAGTAGAGGACTACCTGTATTCTGCTCTTGCTTTGGCCTTATCTACTCTTGGCACAGATTTCATCCTAGAAATTCCTCCTCCATTGAGAGGAAAACCAGTTCCCCATTCTTGTTTTTGATGCTATATCATTCTGGCTATTAGTTTCTGAGAACAGAACTCCCACCAGAAAGCAGTAGACATACCTGTCTTCAAGCCCAGTTGTCATATTCTTCAGTTTGCCAACAGCCAAATTAAAAGAGGAATGGGGGTGGCCTTTCTCAGCTGCTTGTCTAAAAGGAGAAGGCAGATAGGCAATCTAAACCCCATTTCTAAGAAGTGGGATTTCTTTGTACTTCTCTTCCTGCTCCTACTCACTGACTCATCATTCTGGATAGTCAAGAATAATGGAGGACAATAATAGAGGCAATATCATAATCCTATAGTCCTGGCATGCAGTTTTTAACCCATAATGCAGAGTTGCACAATCTATGGTCCAGGGCCATTTGTATCTCCTCTCCCTGGAGCATACAGTACAACTCTTAAAACAATCCAACAAAAGTTGATGTTCTAACATAATATTTAAGAGGAAAAAAGTATTAAATACATGTGGAGCAGTAATTTTAACTATACTTAATTCCTTCCATTTAAGTTTAATTAATATACATTTAAATTAAACCCAGTCATATTTTATTTTGTTCCTGGCCCCATCTCCACTTTTTGCAGTAGATTCCCCCATTTTCAGAGGGAAAATGTGATCATCAATGCAAAAAGAATTTTTCAGCTCCGGCTCAAGGGAAAGTGATACCTGAAGACTGTTAAAGAAATGACACTTTCCATCCAACCTCTACATCACAGACCCTCACACTTTTCAAAACAAAAGAAGGAACACATC